CACCTTTATCTTCATTCATGGCACTCGCCACCTCGAGGGAATGACGCCACCCAGTCATTTCGCCGTCCATGTCCTGTCCATCCCATCTCAAAGGTCAGGTCCAGGAGGGACCTGTCTCATTCCGCATTGTGGCCCTGGGGCCTGGCACAGTGATTGGTACATAGATGCTCAATTAACACACGCTGGGAAGCCAGGTATAGTGGTGTATCCCTGTAATCCCAGAACACAGGGAGGCTGAGGCAGGAGGATCACAAGTTTGAGCCAAGTCTTGACAATTTTACAACTTAGCAAGACCCTGTCTCAGAAGGGGGTTGGGGGGACAAGTGCTGTAGCTCAATGCAGAGAGCCTAGGTTTAATTCCTAGTAGTGAAATAGACAAACAAATCGATGTGCTCACTAAACTTGGGCCATAGTCGATCCTGAGGTGGTGGGGCGTCCTCCCAGGGTGCTGGGCCGTGGCCTAGGGTGGGAGCAGGAGCAGACGCTGCTTCTCTGCGGCTTCCTGGGGCCTTCCGAGGAGCCCCCTCGGCGGCTGCCCTGGTCCCTGGCGTGGCGGGGCCTCCTCAGGAGCTCGGGGCCTGCAGAATCGGGTGTGAAGCCATCCTGCCCCTGCCCCGCCCCATTCATCCGTGGGGTCGGTGGGATGGCATCTCGTGGTGGGGACTGGGCCACGGCCTCCCAGCCAGCCTGGTCCTGACATCCCAGGCCAGGCGAGGACAGGCTTCCCTGAAGGTCGTCCCTCTGTTTCCAGGATTAAGAGAGAGTGGTGGGACCAAATTCCCAACCCTGCCTGCAGCCCTGCGGTGGCCATTGTCATTCAGGGTCCCCAGGTGAGACTGGGGAGGCTTTGGGCAGGCGGGTGGCTGTCCGACAGCTTGGAGCAGCAGCTCCTAGAGCCAGTGTCCTCTCCCCTCGGCCGGGCCCCTCTGGGGTCTCCAGTGTGAGTCACCCCGTGCCCTCCCCAGGCATTCCCTGTACCAGGAAGGAGGCCAGGAGGAGCGGGGAGGGGCAGACGCCCTGTCCTCCTCTTGGAGGTGGGCAGCTGCCCCAGAGCCCAGTGTGTGGAGGACGGCTCGCGGGGCTGGGCTGGGCCTAACTGCGGGCCCTCATCCGGGACCGGTGGCCTCAAATCTCGGCGCCGTGGGTCCCCCTCGGCCGGCCTTGGTCAGGGGCTGCAAAGCCCTCTCGGCCCTAGGCCTGGAGGTCAGCACCCTGGGGCAGAGCAGGGTCTGGGGCCGCAGGCCTGGCCAAGTTCTGCCCCCGCACTGTTATGAGGGCACTGAGGCTGGGCATCTTGTCGGCCTGCCCACGCTGGGTGCCCGCTGAGAGCTGCATCGCCAGGCTGGGCCTCACTGCCTATGTGCGTTCCAGGTGTCGGCGTGGGAGAAGCGACCACGGGGCCAGCAGCCCGGCAAATGCCCGTATGTATGAGATTCACCTGCATGGCTTTGCAGGGCAGGAGCAGACAGCAGAGTGTGTGCAGCCTCACTCAGGCTCTGGGGGTGGTGAGAGGGGCGGGCGGGCTGCTGGCCCGGCCCCTGATCCTTAGCAACCAGGCGCCAGTGGTGCATCTAGTGAGGACCTGCACGCTCACAGCCAACAGCCGCATCCTGAGCATTCAGGGCCTCCTCCCTTGGTGCCTCTGGGACCTGCGTGACACAGAGGTGCAGGGCCCTGCCCCGACCCCAGGAGCCCTTCAACCTTTCTCACCATCACAGCTTAGGTGACCATGCTGTTTCGGTGTTATTATCCCTGACAAAGACTTTTCCTCATTCAGGAGACCAAGTTTGTATTAGACCACCGGCTGGGTTCCAGAAATCCAAAAGGAAGAAACAGGCCCTGCCCTCAGGAAGTTCCTGGTTTAGCAGTAAAGACAGACTCATTGGTTACTGATTATAGAACCTGCAGCCATGTCTGCAGTAAACACACATTATACAGGATGATTTCAAAGTGGGCTTTGAAGGTTAAGTAGGAGTTTTTCAAGTGGCAGTGTTGAACCCTGACCAAGCTTTGCATTTGCAGGCACTGGAAGACATGTCTGACCAAGCTCCTGCCCTGTTTGCTGGAGCATGGTGTGAAAAAGGATGAAGACCTCCCGAAGGCTGCCAGAAATAGGGCTTTGAACGGCCCCGGGAAATCAGCATGGTCCCCTGTGGAAGTCAGCAAGACCGTGCTCCTGCCAGAGACCATCAGTGTGGTGCGGTGTGTGGAGCTGTTTGAGGCCCCAAGAAAGGCAGAGGAGGAGGACGAAGAGGAGGAGGAGGAGGAGGACGAGGAGGAGGGTGAAAAGGACTTCGGCACATCTGTGGAGAGCGGCCAGGGCTTCACGGACGGCAGGGAGGGCATCGCAGCGCGGCTGACCGAGAGCCTGCTCCTGGGCCTGCTGGGCGCCGAGGAGGGGGC